CACAAAATTGACCTCTTAATCTCAATTTCCTTGTTTGTAAGCCAAGGGCACCCCCATCCACCCCACAGGGCTGGGGAGGATAAGTGGAGAAGTATTTTTCCTTCTAGACTGAACTAAAACGGCTACTTTTGTTTTCAAGGTAAAACTGCTGTCTGGCAGGCACTTACCCAGTACAATCAATTTTAACTCCTACCCCTTCTGTGTTGCCAGGGCCTGGCTCCCAGGGGTCTATGCCCAGGCTTCGTCCAGCTTACGGCCACCACTCCCTCCCTGAGCTCCTACTCCACCGGCACATTTTAGGATCCATCTCACAGCTGGAATGAATGTTTTCATTTCCTTTTTCCTTTCACCGTAAGAGTGTTACCTGCTCGTGTTATACACCTCAGGATAGGTATTAACCATAGAACTTCTCAATTAAGCTGATCTAATTAAAAGAAATGGTAGGTGGAGCCTCTTTGTTGAATGAACCACCCCGATTCTTTCCTGTAAGTGCAAGTCAATCCAGAACTATCTGAGACTACATTTAAATGTTTAACCATCTCTTATACAATGTCACCATGATGTGACACACTTTTTGCTGTTAGGTGATGACCATTATGAAATGACGGGAGAACGTAATGATAAGAAGTACCTGGGGCTCACCTGTATTCACACCGACCCAGTGCCCTGGGGGACAGTGCACTCACAGGGCCTACATTCGAAGGAGACAAAAGCTACCAGCTCGCTAATGAATGACGCACCCACCAGACATGCGTGCGCGCCACATCTGAACCAACAGCAAATCCTCTGCCTTCACTTTCAAATTAAATCCAGACCCTCGGGACTTGTTTAGTGGGTATAGAGTTTCAATTTTGCAAGATGAAAAGAGTTCTTGGGGATTGGATGCACTACAGTATGAACGAATATACTTAACACGGCTGTACACTTAAAAATGGTTACAACGGGAAATTTTGTTATACAGTTTACCACACTTTTTTAAAAATCCACACACACGCCAAGTGGATCCAGACACAGCCATTTCTCATCATCTCTGCTGCTCGCCTAGACTATTTATTACAAGAGCCGAGGGGCCAACCTCATTCTCACCCTCCTGCATTTGTCTTCACACAGCCAGACACAATCTACTCTGAAACAGCAGTTCTCAAACATGTGCTCTCAGGGTGGTTTACACCAAAGTTACTGAGGATCCAAACAGCTTCTGTTTATGTGGGATCGATCAACTGATCGATATGTCTGTATTGATCTATCACCTATCTATCACTTATCTATCTACCTACCTACCTACTACCTACCATCTATCTATCTTTATTGTACTGGAAATTAAAGCCAAGAAAAATTTTAATTCATTTTGAAAACAAGCCCATTTTAAGTTAACATAAATAATACCTTTATGAAAATAACTAAATCTTTTTAAAACAACGTGTGCTAAGAAGAGTGGCAATGTTTTACCTCTTTGCGGATCTTTTCACTGTCTAGCTTACTGGAAGACAGCTGGGTTCTCATCTCTACTCCTGCAGTCAAATGTTCCATGATCACACGTCACGCAGCCTCTAGAAAACTCCACTGTGCACCCATGAGAGAATGAAAAAAGGGCAATAACACCCAATAGTATTAAAATAGCTTTGACCTCTCAAGTGCCCTGACATGGTCTCACGGACTGGTCACTTCGTCACTTAACTTCAGATCTCGGTTCAAATGTTTCCTCCTCCAACTATGACAGTTCCGGCCGCCTTGGCCTCTTTTCCTTCTGCTGCTCACCACCCACAACCATGGGCAGAGAGGGCCGTGCTGCCAGCCTGGGCCGTGGGGCAGTTACCTGGCTTCCTCCATGGGCCTTGGTTTCCTCATCCGTAAATTGAAAACAGCAATAGCACCCACCTCACAGGTTGCTGTGTCACATATAACATGGTGAGGACAGTGTCAGATGCTCAGGAAAAGCCACAAGATGCTGTTGTGTGATTATTTCTCCTTCACACAGACACGTGCAAAAACACAGATTCAGGGAGGGTGTGACCTTTTGTCCTCTGCTAATGAGCATCTCATCACTCAGAACTACCTGGCCAATGAATGAATGGGTAAGAAACCTGACAATACAAATAAAATCAGCATCCTGGTTTGTCAATTCTCTCACAGAGAAGTGAGTTTTGGTGCTGAGAATCGAAAACCAGGTATGATTTGGTGTCTTAGACAGGTGGATGTCCCAAGCAAAGGAGACAGAGAATCTGGAGGTACGGCACCCAGGAAAATCCTGGGGGATCTGTCCAAGAAAGGTAAGCTGGGGTTAGATTATAGAAGGACCAAGCCCAGGTCATAAAGGCCAGAAATGCAAAGTGCCTTTGGAAAATATCTTCTTCCCTCATAACAGTTGCTCCTGAGACGAGAGGTTTGGTAAAGAGGACTCAGAAAGTTATGGTACACCTGCACGCCTCCTTCCGAAACACTGCCCAGGACGGGGTCAGTTAGCTGGTGGAGGGCTGCGGGGCAGCCTTCAGTCATAAACTCTTTCTGCAGTCAGGCTGAATGTTGGACCTAATCGCTGAAACGCCCCATCTTCTCCAGATCTCCTGGTAAAATAGGCTGTGACGCAGGCTGGAAGGCTGGAGCACTGCCTGGCGTTACAGATACAGATAAACAGGCCATTTTAAAGGAAGCTCTCCAAACCCTCCATTGTTTGTCACAAAGCTTTCCTTTTAGAACAACACAGAAGCTATTAATTCAATTGACTATTAATAATGTACCATGAATAGCAAGTGCCACTTCCAATTTGTTTTCATATTTAAGGTTTTATTGATAAAATTATAAGCATAGCAAATAAAACTGAAGACAGTTATCTCAATATATGAGCCCATAAAACTCCTTAGACTGTAACTAAATGAATTTATCTAACCCAGCTGGGAGGTAATGATACGAGGCAAAGTGCAGAAAACCTAAACCTGCAGAAAATATAAAAAGATAGTAGCATAAAATATGTAACCCTGCTACCTCCAGATTCTCTCGTCCCCTTTGCTCTGCTATCGCCTGCAGCTGAAAATGATTCACAGTTCAAGGCGAAAGATCATTTTATAGCAAATTCCCAGTTCTTTTATTTTTTTCTCCCCAAGTATTCTAATTTTATAAATCAAAATTTCTAAATTGCTCCTTTAAACTGGCAGCAGGATGAAGGGATCTGGCCAGTTCCAAAGACTGAACTTTTAAATATTTAATAAATGATATTTTTAATATTTCATCACATTCAATTGGCATTATAAAATATTTATAGAAACAAGTGACTGATGTTTCTGTAATCATCCAAAAAAAAAATCACCAATAAAGACAATAGGTTACCGGTCATGAGTCTAGGAACAAGTCACCCTTGCTGAAAGTCTTACCGGATTTAGTCTATCACATTCTAGATCATTAAAAAGCCAACTAAATTTTGAATGGCACAGGATCAAAATCATGGAATGAAAAGCTGGTGATCAGCCCTGCTGTAAGAGGCTATCTCTGGGGAGCACGCCTATTA